AATCTTCGAGCAACTACAACAAATATATGATTGGCACAAAAAATCAGGCAACTAAACATGATTCTGCATGTGTTCAAGGAACTACCTGTTATTTTTAATAAATAAAATTAATGATAAAATATAAACCAGCAGCTTTGGGTAACATTTTAGTCCAAAAACACATGCAAAGGAAGTTTAGCTTTTGAAAGCAATCAGATACTTCCAATATGCAACTAAATAAGTCCATAATTTAATTGTTTAAGCAATCTTTGTGCAGCTTTTGGATTATTCATATTCGGCAGAGAAATTCAAATAAGCACAATAAGGAATTTGACATACACATGATATAGTAACTCATCAGCACTACTGACTCACCCCCCAATGTATTTCCTTCTGGTTTATCTGATTAGCTGAATCCTGGCTGCTTCCAGTAAGTGTTACAGACTCAGCATCATCAGAAATTGAGCTGGGTTGTCCAGGAGAAACTGAAAAACCAATAAAATATACATATACAGATACGTTCTTATGTAAACATATCACCCTTCCAACCAGAAGTCAAACTGATTTACCTTGGAAGTTGATATGCTCATTGATAATCCCGAGCATTGTGGTGGATTGTGGCTTGTGTAGAAACTGCAGCAGAAGCTCATAGGAGTACTGGAAAGATAATTTACCAAAGAATAAAGTTTTTCAGCTATATATAGTATTATATACACACCAGCCTACCAAAAAACAAAAAACAAAAGAAGAACCAGAATATTACCTGGCAAATCTTTATGTTCACTTTGCTCTGCCTGAGAGAATGAGCAAATTCCATCTCCTGAATAACAACATAGCGATGATAACTTTTTTTATATTTTATGGTGCTGATGTAATCATAAATCAGAAATGCAAAAATTAGTGTTCTGGAAGTAAACACCTGCAAATGAGAAGGAGATAGAACTCCCTCCAACTTCTGTAGATCTCGTAGGTGCATCATTTCATGGTCTTCACGGAAGCTATTGAAAAATGTCCGAGCTGGTAATATAAAAAATAATGAAGTATAAAATTCAAGACACTAAGTAAGACATCAACCATAATCACGTAAAAACATAAGCGATAGTTGCTTTTACTATAAGAAACATGGCACAAAGGCAAGAATCAAGAGACATACCTTCTTGAACATGACCTTTTGCAACCAGATCCATGAAACAATGAATAAATACCGGATAAAGAACACGAAGTAACTCATGCTGCATTACACAAATAAGATAATTTAAGAACACCAAAAACATAAAATATTAAAGAACACAAGTGAACTCAAAAAATAAGTTACCCTGTACAAATCTAGTGAACTATAAGTCCACGACCTCAATTTGGCATATCCATCTTGATACTTTGCAGGACCATCCTCAAATCTGTACAAGAATATCAACTACAGAATTAAAAGCAACCTCTAATCAAGAAGACTAGGCTGAACAATCATAAACATAAGCAATGACATTGAGGCTCGAAAACTAATGGAATAACAATTCAACTTCCAAACTCTACTTTTCTTTTTCTTTTTGTACAGTTTCCATTCAAATTTCTAAAACTTTAGCTCCTAAATTCAAATTCCATATATATCAGAAGCGTACATAAAGACTGCAGCTAAACCACAACGTAAATAACCCCTTACAAAAACCCAAAAAAAAAAAAAAAAAAAAAAAAAAAAAAGCAGAGAGAGTACTCGGAGAAGGAGAGGATGTGCTTGGCGACGTCGGGGTCAAATTGGGAATTGAAAGAGATCGGAGACGAAGAGTTGTTGGTGTTTTTGTTAAGTTCTTCCTGGAAAGCGTTCTCCGTTTGCTTGAACCCTTTCTTCTTCAGGTATGCTGCCACAAATTTCCGTACGCTCTCCTCGTCCATTGCCTCGCCTCTCTCTCTCTCTCTCAATAGACTATTTGCAGTCGAACAAAATCTCTGTTCGAAAATGAAACGGAAACCCCTCGTGCAGTAGTGACTCAGTCCCTGTCGTGCCCTTCAGTTCCCGGTCTTTGTAATGGTTAGCACCTTAAAGCCCACACACTTTGGGCCCAACAGTTTCTGGACTGTATGGACTGATTTAAAATTATTTGGGCCTACCAAATTCATAATTGATTTTTTATTTAATTGGGACGGAGCTCATGTTTGAGAGTGAGGATTGCGGCCCAAATTTCTAATTACGCAATCCACCCTTCTTAATTTTGGAGTCATTCTATAGCGAGAGTCTTATATATGGCCCTTAGGTGAATTTCTATCTATTAATCGTTGAATAAGGCTAACCAATTTGATATAACAGTTAAAAAATAAGGCATCACTTAAAAGCCATATATAAGGCCCTTACTATAGATTTCTTACCTAATTGTGTGACCGACTGTTTTGCCAACGGGGTATAGCCCAATGGAAAATGACGTTGACTTGCATAACAGTTGTCTCATGTTCCAATCCCCATGACACCTTGTTAGTATGCGTGTGTGTGTAAGAAACCTCCTCTCCTTGCAATTTAGACTATTGTTTGTATAAAAAAACAAATGTAAATGCAAATGGTTGGCCATTAACAAAAATTTCGTGTATATACGTGGATAATTTCTTGTGTGCATACGAGGACTGAATCAATAATTGGACATTATATGGTTGAATTTTCTCAACTACATCATAATGTATATATCGCTGTCCATTAATCTAAAGAAAGAAAAAGAAAAAGAAAATCTGTTTTTTTATATATTTGTTCACAAGAACCAATTGCTGCCCATGCGCTAATCTGTTTTGAAGAAATATACGCCAAAATATAAAATACAAAGCTTCAGAATGCACCAAACAACTTCCATTTTGTTCATAGCATTTGTTCTTTGGTTTCCGCTTCAGATTAATCGAGTACAAAGCAAAAACAATAACAACTGATCGTGGGCATAGCCATAAATATGTAAGTTAACATCAAAGTTGCATAATTTTCAAAGGATGCAGAGTCACCTCGACGATATTTTAGGCTCTTTGATGGGGCCGGTTTGTATTGTTGGTCTATCCACTAATCCGTGATATAATTTATTTATTTATAATCATACGTGACATAATTAATTACTTTAAGTAGAATAGTAGATATACTTTTTCATTAAGAAATTTTAATATAAGCACATGATTACGAAAAATGAGTGATTAGGCAGACTTGCATAATGGGCAATGATAACCTTTTCTATAGTAGTGTCCGAAAAATTAGTTAAAGTTTTCTGCTAAGAAAGAGGTGTTTGGTGCAATATTCTTTCAAAAGGACATGTGATTAGGCATGGAGCCTGTCTGGTTTATGGGCCCCCAAAGTCATTATATTGATCGGGTCCCCCCCGCTCCACCACACGCTCATGTTTGTCTTTTTTTTTTTTTTCGGTTTCCGATACCGTACATTTTCAGTTTTTTTTTTTTTTTTTTTTTTTTTTTTTTTTTTTTTTTTTTTTCCCGTCGGATAAAGATCGCGTGGTCTTCATCAAATACTATAAATTTAATGAAGCAGCTGAGCGAGACAAACATCGAGACATGACCCATGACCGACCTAATGCTTGCTCGGTCCCAGAACGATGAACTGATGGGTTAAGTGTTACGTTGTAATTTGTAAAGCTACTAGAAAATATTATCTTTCAATTCAAGCTTGTCTAATTCCTTTGCCTTTGAAAATATAAATATAAATTAAGCATAAACAAAGAAATGTTTCAACTACTATATATTGACAAGTTTTTTCTTCAAGAGTTATTCTTCTCGATTCTTGTCGGTTCTCTCACATCCCGTAAAATGAGATTCTGATCATTAAATGTGTGTCCTAACTTATATTCAGTCGTGTTTTCTCTTGCACCATTGCTAACATAATGTCACTAAATAAAAAGTTAAATAAAATTACTATAAATAAAATAATATAAAAAACACACCTGACCGATGGGAGCGTCATTTTTTAGATACTACTGCATGTTGCTGGCTTTTGCTTAGGCATGAAATCCTGCATTCTGTCCACCACTTGTGGGAAGAAGACTTTTCCCCAAAACAAAGTCTTTCTAAAACCCAATTTAACTTAAAATTTGTTATGTAAAAGTCAACTGTTCTTCTTCTGACCCTTATCATAATACTTTAACTATGTCGACCAACATTTATCGGTAATTAGTAAATATTAATTGAGTTTTTAACTATGTCGACCTCTTTGAATTTTATAATTAGAAAAATCTTCGCAGAGACAACGGCTGAAGTAATGCCCAAGAATTGAGAAATTAATTTGAGTTCTATAAAAATAATGGGTAGTTGTGTTCCATAAAAATAAGATATATTATTTGATTTTTCTTTTAATTTTAATAATTTTAATATGAAAAAGTATGGATATACTATATTATCATCATTTAATTAATAATTTTAATTTTTAATATTTACATTAACTAATGACATTTTCTAGTATTTTAAATGTTTCACAATTTTCCGCATTTTGCTTTATATATATAGATTTTAGTTACTTACCACTTATTTAGTCATATTATAAATAAAATTTGTTTACATATTATAATTTTTTATTTATTTAAATTTTATTTATTTATTAAAAACCAAAATTATATTTTTTTTAATTTGTATATAAAATAAATACCTAATATATATATATATTTAAAAAAAAAAAAAAAAAAAAAAAAAAAAAAAAAATCATAATTGAATATTTGACCTACTTGGAAACCTCCTCTATAAAAATTGAACCATATAATTTATTCATCATTCTGTGTGCGACCCCAGTCTGACAGAGAACATACCAGGTGCTCCAATGGCTTCGAGCCAACGCCCCCTCCTCTCCCATTCACCTTTATCTCACCCAATTAAAGAAACCTTCATCTAGCAAAAGCACCTCAACCCCCGAATGGAATCCGTCAGAATCAGCTTCTCAGCCATTTTATCTTGGATCCCATTACACTACAAGCCCAACTCTCCAAATTAACGAAAGCCCAACTTAAACCCCCTTTTCAATTTCAACAATTTTCCATAAATTTTGTCCCTTTGATTCTGCATCCATGGAAGAAAGGACTGTCTTGTTTGGGAAATACGAAATGGGGAGGCTTCTGGGCAAAGGGACCTTCGCGAAGGTCTACTATGGCAGACAAATCGCCTCCAACGAAAGCGTGGCGATCAAAGTGATCAGCAAAGACCAGGTGAAGAAAGAAGGCATGATGGAGCAGATCAAGCGAGAGATCGAAGTGATGCGTTTAGTTCGTCACCCAAACATCGTCGAGCTCAAGGAGGTCATGGCCACCAAGACCAAGATCTTCTTCGTCATGGAGTACGTCAAGGGCGGCGAGCTCTTCGCGAAGGTCGCCAAGGGGAAGCTGAAGGAAGATCAGGCCCGTAAATACTTCCAGCAGCTGATCAGCGCCGTCGATTTCTGCCACAGCCGAGGCGTCTCCCACCGCGATTTGAAGCCCGAGAATCTGCTGGTCGACGAGAACGAAGATCTGAAAATCTCCGACTTCGGCCTCTCCGCCCTGCCGGAGCAGCTCCGGAACGACGGCATGTTGCACACCCAGTGTGGGACCCCTGCTTACGTGGCGCCGGAGGTTCTGAGGAAGAAAGGGTACGACGGATCCAAGGCTGACATCTGGTCCTGCGGCGTTGTGCTCTTTGTCTTGCTCGCTGGGTTTCTTCCCTTTCAGGACGAGAACCTCATGAAGATGTACAGGAAGGTTTTCAAAGCTGAATTCGAGTGTCCGCCATGGTTTTCGACCGAGACGAAACGGCTGGTTTCGAAACTCCTGGTCTCCGACCCGGAGAAACGCATCACCATCCCTGCCATCATGCGCGTGCCTTGGTTTCGCAAGGGGTTCACGAGGCCCGTGGCGTTTTCGGTGCACCAGGAACTTGTTTGTGAAAAGTCCGAAGAGGAAGAAGTGCAAAGCGATGTTCAAAAGGCCAGCAGCAACAAGTCGTCGTCGCCCAAGTTCTTGAACGCGTTCGAGTTCATTTCGTCCATGTCTTCCGGGTTTGATTTGTCGAATTTGTTCGAGAGCAAGCGGAAGGCGGGGTCCATGTTCACTTCCAAGTGCTCAGCCACGGCGATCATGGCGAAGATTGAGCTGGTTGCCAAGGGGCTGAGCTTCAAAGTGGCCAAGGTGAAGGACTTCAAGATAAGGCTGCAAGGGGCCAATGAGGGAAGGAAAGGGCGGCTTTCGGTGACGGCGGAGGTGTTCGAGGTGGCGCCGGAGGTGGCGGTGGTGGAGTTTTCGAAATCGGCCGGCGATACTTTGGAGTATGCTAAGTTCTGTGAGGAAGATGTTAGGCCAGCATTGAAAGACATTGTTTGGACATGGCAAGGTGACGGTGACGGTGACGGTAAAGTCGAGGGTGATCAACAAGACTCACGATGAAAGATTAATGCTAAAACTTAAAGTTAATAGTAACAATCTTGGAAATACCGACCCTAATTAGGGTTTAAGGTTTTCACTTTTGTAGTTGATTTTTACTTTTGGTTTTGCTTTTTTGGGTTTGTTTTGGGTTTATTAGGTTTAATTTGTACATATTTTGTGATTAGCATGCTAATTAGTATATGGGTTTTGAATACAAGTTTGGAAGGAGGTTTATACAATGAAGCATGAGCCAGCTGTTTTTGTTTTGGCTGGTTTCTTTGATGCCTTCTAATTGTTTCGCAAGAATTCGGTGGAATTATGTTGTTTGATTGAGATGATGCAGAGAGACAAACCAAACCAATCCAAACCAAACATTTGTTTTTCACACGCTGCTTGATCGAAAATGATGGAAAAGTGACTGACGCTTGCAAATATGGTAGAGAATGATGTGACTCTAAATCATCTTCCAAACGCCAAACACATGAAAACCTATTATCTCCTTTCAATTTCATAATAGAAATTTGTGCAAAATATTTTTCACTTGTGTGTCATGTTTTCTTTTTCATAATAATCATCTCTCATTACAAGAAGTTCGTAGCTCAAAATGGTTAAGAGCCGTTATCCAATATCGAATTTCTTCTATCTTAATATCTCTTGTAAAATCGAACCTAATTTAAAATAGAGAGATTCACTATTATACCAAATATAGATGCCCAAATTATAAAAATACTCCATATGAAATGGGCTTTATAAACATACCAAAAACCTATTTATAACATAACAAATAAGCTTTTAATTTCTTATAAATTACAAAACTGCCATCAATTTCTTAAAACAAGCCCAACCCAAAAATCTCATAAAAATACCTAAAACACTCAATAGGCATCAAAGTAATTTAATAATCAATATTAAATTCAATAAGATCAGCTGTTATTTTTAGGTTTTTTTGAATTTGTTTATAGAAATGTAATGGTGTAAGGTTTATTTATAATATTAGTACTAAGAATAGGTATATCACTAAATATCTCTTAATTTAATATAGAATCATTGATATCACTTTTCTAGACCATGCGCATATGCCAAAAGCCCTTTGGATTCTCCTTTTTAACTAGGTGTTTATTTTGCTAATATGGGAGCAAAAATGCAGACCAAGTTAATAATCCTTAAGACTGGTAGCTTTCTCTTGTGAAGATTGAGCCAGAAGTATGGCCATCAAACTAACAAGGCAAATTTTGGCACCTAATGAAAGACAAGTGAGCCCATTCATTGTCATGTTATTTTATAAGAAGAATGGCTAACCGACGTTGACAATATCGTTGCACCTAATTTCAAATAGCTATGTTTTGGGGGTGGCTGGTAGTTGGAAGGAAAAGCACATTATGCTTGTTCTCAAAGCGGTTGTGCTTTCTTTTCTTAATGTGTTTTTTCTTGGATTCTTGGGTGGTACAAATTGTGACGCGCGTCCAAAGACTGCTTTTTTCATTCGGAGGATATAACTTGCTTTCTGTGTATTCTTCACATCCACCGCATTTAGAGAGAGACTACTTGCAAGTAACAATAGTACGAATTTAAAGATATAGATACAAATTAACATTATTTTTTTATTTTTTTGTTTTTGGTTTTGGTTTTGGTTGAGGTCCACATTAATTGCAAGAGAAATGGGCAACGCAGATGCCATGCCTGACAAGTCAACAACACCCTTTAAATGAATAATTTTAGGATTTTGTTAAGATCAGTTGTTCACGCGTGTGTGAGTGATTTCTGACCGTTAATTGATCGTATGTCGCACAACAGTTTACAGCCAAAGTTGCATGCGCGGCGCCTGCGCAAAGTGGCCAGCTCACCCTAGTGGTAGAGCGATGATTCTACACTGATGCAGGAGTCAAACAATTGCCCTAATCCTTCACTGAATCAAAGAAAATACCAAAAGTTGATAGCATGGGGGAACTTTGTCTGACAGAAAATATCATAGCGATCTCAAAGATTTGCATAGATGTGGATTTACATGGATAGTTAAAAAAGAGTATGCAACTTAATGAGAGAGAGAGAGAGAGAGAGAGAGAGAGAGAGAGAGAGAGAGAGAGAGAGAGAGAGAGAGAGGTCAAAAGTTTCCAACAAGTGCACAAAAATCTTATGAAAAAGTTCCAGTGACATAGGTAGAGCAACATATAGTTTGTCGCATAAGAAGCAAGCAACCAATTGATATTATTATGAATCTTTTTAGCTACAATTACTTGATCATTTCAAACCACATAAAAAACATCCTTACCAGATGGAGCCTATAAAAACGATGTGCTTAATTAATAATAATAATGATAGGAAAATGAGGTCCAGTTCAGGCTCCAGCTCCATTACAAAACAAAATCCTATCGACATATCATTTTCAGGCAAGTAGTCAAATTATGGAATCAAAATGTAACAAAAAAACTTATTTATAATGGGGATAACACTGTTTTGCTATTTTTGGCCAAATAACACAATGACACGTAAAAAATTTATCCCACATGTTAGTGTCATTGTGTTATTTAACTGAAGATAGCAAAACGGTGCTATCCTCGAGAGTCTCTCCAAAATGTGCGGGCAAAGGGTCAATTCTGTTGCCTGCGGTTTTGGCTTTTGGGTTGTAGTTGATTGGAGGCCCAGGTAAATCTAAGGAGAGGCTTGGAATTGATGCCAAGTGGCTCACCTCCACAAGATGGATAAGATAAGGTTTTCACTTTTTCGGGGATGGTTTGTTTTTTTATTTCTAATTCTTCCCCCTCTTCTCTTCTTGCCAAGTGGCCCATGAAATTGTTGGGGTTTTCATATACTTGGAACCAACTTTTGACAAGTGGCCACGTCACCATCATCATCAGGCGGTCAAAAGTGGGCCTTTGTGGAGGAAAAACAAGCAATGCCCAACTATTTCAATGCTCAAAATAGCTTTAATACGAGGCCCAGTTATGGACTCAGACTCCATGGCCGTGCAGCCCAATAACCTCAACTATATCAGCCCAGATATGGATATGAAAGTTTAAAGGTTGGTTGATTTTGCAGACATAGACTTAGACAAGTTAGTTAGAGCAGATTTGCTCCCCACTTTACATCTAAGTTTGAATCACTCTCTTTATCTATATATATAAAGCAAAAAGTAAAGAATGGTGAAACATTCAAAATACCATAAAATACCCTTGGTTAATTCAAATATTAAAAATTGAAATTATTAATTAAATGAGGATAATATGGTAAATTCACATTTTTTCATATTAAAATTAAAAACAAAATTAGATAATAGGTCATATTTTTATGGAGCATAACTACCTATGTTATCTTTTCTTAATTCTAAAAATAAAAAGAAAAAAGAAAAAAGAAAATTAATTGGCCCAAGAGGCTAGTATATATATAAAGTAAGGTCGATCTTAGCAATAATTAAAACCATTTTGAGATATTTCATATATATAAGACTTTGAATAAGAAACGAGAATAAAGTGAGTGAACAATATTTATTTGTTTAATTTTCATATAATTGACAGTTCAAATTATTTTAGATTAATCTAATCTATACAGAGGTGGACTCAAACTTGAGTGCAAAAGGACGTGCTCAGTATTACTATTATGACCAATTCACATAATTCACATCATATCAAAACGACACTTTGTTAAAAAAAAATTTGACAACATACCAATCAATGTCTGTAATGTGAATAACATAAAGCAAAAGGCAGAGAATGGTGAAACATTCAAAATACTAGAAAATACTCTTGGTTAATATAAACATTAAGAATTGAAATTATTAATTAAATGAGGATAATATGGTAAATTCACACTTATTCATATTTACAAAATTAAAATTAAAAGAAAAATCATATAAGGGATCCTATTTTTATGGAACACAACTACCCATCATCTTTTTTAATTCTAAAATAAATAATTTTTTTTTTATAAAAAAAGTCTCTCATAAACGCAAAAACGCGTGCTGAGAGGTTAGTGTGAAGAAGACAACACCTTCCCTTCTTTGTTTCCCATTTGTTTCCGTTTTTGCTTTTGTTTCCCATTTATGACCAATTGACATAATTCACATCAAATCAAACAACACTTTGTTAAAAAAATTCTGACAACACACCAATCAATGTATGTAATGTGAATAACACAACACCCTCCCTTCTTTCTTTCCCTTTTTGCTTTTGCTTCCCATGTTCTATGTCTGTTATGAAAGTGAAGTTCCCATTAGTTTTTGTTTTCTTGCCTTATTTATCATCCAAAAAATGAGATGTGCAATCGATCGAGGAACTCCAAAACCAAACACATGTGGTGTTGGTTTGAAAAGTAAGAAAACGCAAAACACGTACGTTATGATAAAACATGTGGAAAAAAAAAGGGCAAATTAACTAAATGTCCGCTTAAATAAGCATACGTCATGAGGCTTACGTCTAGGTGCTGATGTTATATGCATATAGATTCAGTGTCATTACAGAAGAAAACACGAATATACAATTGTGTGGGTAGGTGTGAGAAAACTTGGCTTTTTCTCAATATGCTGACATGATATGCAAGCAAAGGTGGCAACTTGACTTACCAAATTTATAGTCTTGCTGCTTACTTTTCCAAGCTTTCTGTCTACTTGATTTGTCTATGTATATAATCTAATGTATGATTAACACGTAGTTAGTGCATATTAACAATGGAGATGGTGTCATTAACAGGTCTTTTTAAATATCTGTTTTGAGTCATTAAAAATAAAATAAACAAGTTTTGTAAGGTGCGCATATGCAATCCTTCTCTCACCAATTTGAATTTTTATTTGATTACTTAAAGTTGCTTTACTTTTGGTTTAATTAGTGCACAATTTAAAATTTCTACCTAACTAGAAACTAAAGAATTGGTAGATATATAATCATTCAAAAAAAAGCACATAAACGACTATGAATCATTGATTGATATATACTATTACTATTGTGTATTAAAGAATGCTTCTCGGAGCATCTGAGAATGATTCGAACTGTATGAAGGGAAATTTTCACATACAATTTTATTTTTGGGGGTTAGTTTTTTCTACGCAATGCAAAGCTAACATTTCTTTAATAAATAGATATCAAGATCATTTCGACGTAATATAGAATATCGGTTGTAAATCGCAATAAGAATCAAACCAGTTGGTGGAAAATTCGATCCCATGCATCCATTATCAATATCTCCTTTCCTTGAAAAGGTGTTCATTTTTTCCGGGAACTTCCAACCAAAGATAAAGTTGACGTCGAGTGGCAAAGAAAAGAAGAACACAAACATGATAAAACTGATGCCGCATGCAGCCATACGCACGCATGCCACACAGATTCCACACGCCTTTGAATTCAGATAAAACTTTACAAATTTATGAACAATATACGCGGTTGCTTGAGCCTAATTAGTTTTTGGAAAAGATTAAGAAATTACAGTTAGCTTAGCTTAGCTAGAAGATTATTGAGATGATGACGTTTTATGTATGACATAATTTGGTCTTATAAAAATTATATCCACCAACCTTTGTTTAATTAATTTGTATTACCAAAATTGATACCCATATATTTCAAATTTGACCCGTAATTTATCTACAATATAATTGTTGGAATCTTTGTATACAAAGACCATAATGCTTTCACTATTGGGCAAGATATATATATATATATTTTCTATTGATACTGACAAAAAAATTAGTTTATGTTTTGGCTTGATTATTATATATAGTTCAATAATTCAAAGACTAAAACATAATTAAAAGAAAGACTGAATTGTACTACTTTGTGATGTCATACAAAATCAATAATATATACCATGATTGCATTGCCACAAGGATATTCTTCTTCTTATATAACGTGTGAAATGAAAATGACAGCTGATGTAATGGTTTGAAGTAATTGATCTTTTATGAAAAGTTTTGAGTTCGAGTTCTAGCATTCGTGTACTGTGTGTGAGTCTAGTATATTACCTTAATTATGGGGTGTTTTCAAAAATTTACTCCTTACGTGAAACGAAAATATCCGAATAATTAAAGTGGAGTACGACTCTCTTACTGTAGTCTCTTTAATTAATGAAGAGACTAGGCTTAGTCACCCTCTCTCTAGCCTTATCCATGATTGCAAAGATTCTTTTGCGTGACTGGGATTGTTCCATTTCTCATATTCATAGAGAACAAAATAATGCTGCTGACCATATGGCACATATGGGTCAAAACTCCAATTTGGGTTATCAAGTTGTTGATCTTCCCCCTCCTTCTATTATAAGCCTCTTGGCAAATGATTCTGTTAGGATGACCAATGCCATGCTTGTCCCAGTGTAGTTTTTTCTCTAGTTTTTTCTTGGGGCTTCGGTCCTCTTGTGTAAAAAAAAAACAAAAAAAAAAAAAAAAAAAAAGTTAGGTGGCCGACAAACACTAGGGGAAAAAAACTATGTGATTCAATTTTGCTATCACATTTTCCAGTTTCCGGAATCCGATTTTGGCAGCCATGTCCACACTTCACACTGCATTGTGCCCGAATTTCAAGTCAAGGTCGAGCTGGGTCAAAATGGATCCATAATTTTTTTCAGGAATTGAACTGTTTCCCTACATTAATTCAAGGCCTCCTTTATTAGTTATTGACATATGATATGCATGATGATCAGAAGTCAATCAATTCTTCTGACCTCTCATATAAGTATCAATCATGTTCCATTTTTGTACACAATCTTTTAAGGGAATTTTAACTTTTCACACTGCAAGTCCCTGGCCAGTTCACATTGCATCTGCCTCCTCAACCTCAAGGTGTTGTCGGTCCAGTTAAGTCGGTTTTGGGGTTAAGTTGCTTTTCAGATTTTGCTTCCACTTGTTAATTAAGTCACCCAGAAAAGGAGAATGTTATCAATATCGATCGTTGTGAATTCATCATTGTAAATTAGCAAGAAACTCTCACGATATTTTTTTAATGGTTACAGTCTACTACGTACAAAAACATCAGAAGAGGTCAACATCAATGGATAAGGTTATATGCATAGCCGAAAGGCCATTGAGTGAATTAAAAAAAGATCGTACATAAACAAATTAATAAAATTAATAAAAAACAGGGTTCGTGCATAGCCGAAAGGCCATTGTAATTTTTTATTTTTTATTTTTCCTTCATAGAAATAAGGAATGGTCTAAATTATTCTGACCACACGACCGACTAATTTACGAATCATGTTTGAACGAACATACACGCACTAGAAATGAAAATAAGGACCCCCTTGTTTTTTCTTCATAGAAACAAGGGGGACTCCTAAAAGACACGTAAAAATAGAAAAGCTGGAGAAAGCAAATCAAAGATATTAACAAAAAAGTCTAAGGTTGGTTGAAAGTTGGAGCCTAGCTTGATGTAATTTCAAAACCGTGTTTTTCCGCCGTCCCAGTAGTCATGTCCGTGTGTAGCTGTGGCTTTTGATCAGTCAATTTTGACAAAGAAGACGCCTCAAGGAGAAAGAGGAGTGGCCAACATGCCAACATGTCTACATGCCTACATGTATATTATAATTATAATTATAATTTTATCTTCTAGCAATAGTGGGAACCTTGACCTTGACTTCAAGACCGACATGGCTTTTTTCATGCCCCATCGCCATCTCTCTCTCTTTCTCTCTCTACAAAATGTTGATTTTTATAGATAGAGATAAAAAACATGAGATGACAATCTCAAGAAAGTCCTTGAATGTCTTCTCTTTCTCATCACCCTCTCTTTCCTCCCACTTTCCCTTCCCAACATCAAATTCTTTCTTATTGTCCTTCTCCCATCTCTCTTGCTCTCTATATAACTGCTAAGGACTGGTTTTCCTTTCAATACTGAAAAGAAAGATTTTGATCGATAGAGAGCTTCAACTGATAATAATTCAAGCTTTTTTCGTCGTCAGCAATGGACTCAGAATGGGTGAACACTTCTCTCGGCCTCAATGTTATTCCTTTCCACCCTGCTAGTTATGATCAAGCTCCTGTGAAGGTGAGATTTGTTTCTGCTGCCTTATATTTGGTTTGAGCTCTCTTGCTAGCTAATTAATTAAGTTCTAATTGGAACCTCTAATTAATATTCAAATCTACTTTTTTTTATTATCAGAAGCAACTAGAGCTTGAAGGGGATTATGCTAAAGTATTTGAAGGCCATGCATCGGTGAAACAAGAGGTGAGCTAATGCTTTTGAACGTTCATTTCTACTTCAAACCCTCGTAGCTAGAAATCAAAGCCACTAATTAATCTCTTTTGCTTAACTATTTAATTAAGAAACTAATAAGATTAGCGTCTTCTTTGATTTGATGGATATGTTGAAGCAGGCAGCAGCTAGCCATGTATTGACTGAAGAGTTGAATAGGCTAAGTTTGGAGAACAAGAAGCTGACTGAGATGCTTACGGCTCTCTGTGAAAACTACACCAATTTGCAATCCCATGTGAAGGAGTTGATGATCACCAAGCAGCAAAGCTCTGATCAAAACGATTTGGCTACAAACTTCAACAAGAAGCGAAAACCGGACAGCGAAGACTACATGATTGGATTAACTAGTCCTGGGACTAATACTGAGACCAGCTCCATCAGTGATGAAGAGTACCCATGTAAGAGGCCGAAGGAGAACATGAACTTGAAGATTTCTAGGGTTCATGTACGCACTGAAGCCTCTGATACACGCCTGGTAAGCCCTAATTATTAACCCAATGCATTGCTTGAGATTTGATGCTGAAAAGTTGTCCAAAATATTAATTTCATGGATTTAAATTTATTTCAGATTGTGAAGGATGGATATCAATGGAGAAAATATGGTCAAAAGGTCACGAGAGATAACCCATCTCCTAGGGCTTACTACAAGTGCTCCTTTGCCCCAAGTTGCCCAGTTAAAAAGAAGGTACTTAATTAAATTCAACCCCCATATCCTTTTTTTTCTTTCCTTTCCTCCTCGCCTCTCATAAAGAAGAAATAATATTGATATATTTGTTAATGTTTTTATTTTCAGGTGCAAAAAAGTGCGGAAAATCCATGTGTGTTGGTGGCTACATATGAAGGAGAACATAACCATATGCACCCTGAAACCAGAGCTGAAGTAACATTGATAGGCTCAATATCTCCAGACCAGCAGCTTAGTCCGCTTTCTCCATCCATGCCCAAGAGAACATCGCCAGTTCCAACTTTCTCATGTGACAAAAATAATAATCTGAGCCCCCGAGAAATCGAAGGCGCTCCACCGGCTTTTCAACAGTTTCTGGTCCAACAAATGGCTTCTTCCTTGACCAAAGATCCCAATTTCGCATCTGCACTTGCTGCTGCCATGTCAGGAAGATTTTCAGACCATTCTCGGATGGGAAAATGGTGAAAATCAAACCCAAGAAGGAAAGAAAAAAGACGAAAAATTAGAGCTATGTATCCCCGATTATTATCACTTAGATTGAGTTCTTAATTTGCTGGTTTTCTCCTATTTGGATTTAATTTTATTTACACATCATTTGAGAGTTGTAAAGTGCAAGGATATGTAAATAGAATTATGAAATCAAATCATCATGAATGAAGAAAAAAGATTAGTTGTTCTTTACTGAAGTAGTACACTTGTACTATCTCTGCTGGTGGTGTTGTCCTTTCAAAATCTAGATCATTAGATTGGAATTGCTGAGAATAATCCCACACCCAACAATTTTCTTCCTCTTAGAAAAATCAACGAGAAAGTAAGCAGGAATTTCCAAGAAAAATACGAAAACCCCGACGATAAAAATATAAAAATATAAAAATATATATATAAACGACTTGATCGGTGGGGGTCTTATCAGAGAAATAAATTATTTATTATTATTATTATTAATTATTGTGCTGAAATGTTTGAACAAGAATTCGAACACTTGTGGCAGCTAATTAAGGCATACAGGAAAAGAAAAAGAGTGCATCAACATCACGATCAGACTAATAATGAACAAGAAAATATAATGACTATTGTAATGTAGCTACAAATTGACTATTGCTATCCTTAATTTAATTTTTAGTCCCGATGCAGCCGTACAAATTGACTAAAGAACTTTATCCCATATACTTTCCAAAATTTCTTTGAAAAATTACAGAAAAATCAGTGTATATCTCGGCGGGTGTGTGTGGATAAGCTTTTTTAATATGAAGCATTAATTTTTGCTCACCACTTTAACTCAAAATGTATTCTCATAACTCTTTTTAACATTTGACACGTGTCTATTGATATAACTATGATTTCATAAATACAAAGTAAAGAGTTAACTATGATTACGTTAATGAACACGTGTCAAGCGTTGAAAAAGGTAGTGAATACACATTCAGTTACAGTGGTGAGCAAAAATATTTCATTTTTTATATATTCTTTTTATCTTTATGTATAGAGAATTTTTATTTGACATTAACTCTTTTATTTCCTTTGCCTTTGTAAAGTATATGTTATGAATTTTTTAAAACGAGAGCAATTTTCACATAACTTAAAATTGCTCTCTCTAGGTTTATTTCTTACTTGGGTAACGGATTTAAAATACGGAATTTAACATTTATTTGTAAAGTTATCATTTTAAAAAACTCAACTTCTCTTGAAATTTTAGAAATGATGACTTTTAAATAGAATTTAAAGTGGGGATTTATGACCTCCAAATTCCATATTTTTTCTCATGCGGAGTTTCTAAATTTTTATGTTTAAAAAAAATATCCAAACATGGGAATTGGTTTACATCAATTTAGAAATTTTAACTTTTATCAAAATCCCAAATTTATTTCCCTCGTCCAAATGCATTGATATATGCGAAAATTCAAATTACAGAGGTAGCCAGATATATAGGAAAGGAAAGTCATGGAAATATAATTAATGAATGATCAAGTCTTTGGCCTTGGCTTCTAGGTCTTGTTTCTTTTATGACCACCAGTGAAAGTCTTTACACGTGAAAACGATTTGCTCGTAGTGGACTGACTACTTTAGAAGATCCACCCCAACGCAACATCAAGTGGTCCTTTGGCACTAAAGTAAGAACCACCCACTAATTCATAGCACTTGCATGACTTATGGCTTTCGTCGTGATCATGCATGATGAATTTCTGGAAAACGATGACCTTGAGTTGATGTGATTTTTTTAATTTTTATTTTTAAAAAATATATACTTTAGGGGTCGTTTGATAATCATTTTAATTTTAGTTTTTTGTTTTCATTTTTCATTTTTTATTTTTTGTGCTAAAGTATAGAGAAAAATGAAAGTGAGAATATAAGTGAGGATGAGAATGAGAGAGGATGAAAGGGGATTATGGGAGGGCGGAGTAATAAAAGAAGTGAAAACAATTTCAAATAGATTTCAGTTTTTAGTTTTTGTTATTCATCCTTCCTCCATCATCCACTCTCATCTTCCCTATCAATCCCATATTCACTCAAGTTCTCACTCCTTCCTTTTCCTCTATACTAGAGCATAAAAAATGAAAACTGCAAACTAAAATTGAAATAGTTATCAAATGGGCTCTTAATAATGTCCAAAAAAGACATCATGTTCAATTGTAAGGAGGCGGTCGCATACGCTAAGCCGGTAAACTAGTCCAACTCACATTTGTAATTTAGAGAAAATTCTAAAATCAAACTCATATGTCTAATTCTAAAGTCATACTTATTTATATACATGATTGAATGACGCAAACAAACAATCCTACACCATTCTGTTTTGTAAATTAGTTTTTAACACAAATAAGCATGACATTTTCTGCAATTTGATTGCTAAGCTTGGTCTTAATTTGGCCATTATTTATTTGAAATTAGTGGTGAAGAGGAGGTTTCGTGCATGAAGTGATGAGCTCTTTTTGGGTGGTTGACTTCGACGACCATTGACCTCTGAATATGTAAACAAAGACTTTTGGTGTTTCAGTCCTTGTAGGCCGTACGCCACACTCTACTCTTCATTATTTAATTAATATTTTGTAGCCTGTTATTTATTCCCATTGGCCAATGCCCACTTTGCTCTCTATCAGCCCATGATATATTGACATGTGAGAGAGAACTAGACCTATAACTTTGCTCTTTATCAACCTCATGGCCTATATCATTGGACTTTTCTGCCCAAAATTTTATATATTTAAAAATAAAAAAGAAAAAAAAAGCATACTTCTCTGCCCAAAACAAAAATTAAAAATTGCACTTTTTCGATTGACCCCACCTCCATATGACTTCATGAGTCGGTCTAATATGAATGAAGAATGATGAAGAGATTATTGATTGAGAATATGTCTTACTAGTTACCACACTATGATTAGCTAGCCAACTCAAAAGAAAAAATATCAACTGTTGTTTGATTAATCAGGGTAAAATATAATTGACCTAGAGAGAGGACTCGTCTAATTGAAGATATTGGCCGGATAACGTTGTCAAAATCATTTTCGAATAACCAAAAATGTTTTATCGAGTATTTGGTTTGAACAGTCTAGTTCTCTTATGGTCACTCACCCTTGAATCTAATCTAAGGATTAAGAAAAAAACTAGTTTAAAAATCAATATTAACATTTTATTTTAACTTAAATCAAAACTAGAAGGTACAAAAAAAAAATGTTGCTTAAACTAAAACACATCCCCATCCCAGTGGTAGAAAATCAAGACCGTGTTCTTGCCATTTCTGCCGACACCCCACCTCTGCCTCCGGCGTCGTAGAAAATTCAGAGCCACCCATGCCCTCAAAACTTGCATCATATTCTCAACGAGCACGATTTATTGTTCTCTTCATTAAATATTTATTAATTAAATTTGTCGTTTGCTTCATCTTGTATACTGTATTATTGAGAATTGCTCATCATCGTCCATACCAACAACAGCCACTGCCAATGTTGTTGTGGTTCTCATAAGCAAAATCATAATTGCGACAATCATATACTGAAAATTGAGTAAATTTGAGTATATGATGCAAGTTTGAGGGCATGGTGGCTCTGGATTGTCTGCAACGCCGGAGGCGGAGGTGGGTGTCATCGGCAATGGGTGCAAGAACACGCTCTTGATTTTCTACCACTGGGATGCGGATGTGTTTTAGTTTGAGCGACATTTTTTTTTGAAAGTTAAAATAAAATGCTAATATTGATTTTTAAACTAATTTTTTCTCAACTTTTAGATTAAATTCAAAAGTGAATGACCATAAATCTCTTAGATCATAGGGGTCCAAGAGAACAAGACTGTTATTTGAAATAGATAAGAATAATTTAAAAGATTAGAGAAGGTTGTTAAAGGTGAATATACAAAAAAACATATATTTAAGAGATGACTCGTATGATTGATATAATCATGACTACTTTTAACATTGCGAAAATCGTTTTCGACTTAGGTATTTGAAATAGATAAGAATAGTTTTTGAAGGTCATAGAAGGTTGTTGTAGGTGAATATGTCGTGTCTAATAAAAATGTTATCAAAACATAAGTGAATAATAATTATATTAATAAGAGTGTTTTATATCTGAAACAAGCAATGCATGGTTTCTTTGTTTTTATGATATTTTTATTCTTAGGAAATTAAAAGGGAAAAGATCGATGAGTGGGAATTCATAAGAAATATACAAGTGAGCCAGCTAATAAAGGAAGACCATAAAACACAACGTCAAGATTCAAAAAGGCTCTCAAACACGCAGGACCCACCATAGCCATGGCAGAAAGAAAAAAAGCATATTTTCTTTCATATTTGGGAGGAATTAGGACTAGTCGCTGCTGACGTCAGCCTGATGGCGTGGGCGATATTACGTGTGCTTGTCGTGTGTGCGAAGAGTCATGATTCTCATGAAATCTCCATATTTTTTCCAACCCAAGGATTTGATTTGAATATAAATTCTCCATACCCAGGCAGAAACTGATGAAGACCATAAGCAAAAGCAGTTAGCAGCCACCCACTGAAACTGGTGCAAATTGCCAAATAGGTCTTTGCTCGTATATTTATGTCTATGTGGAAATCAACTGTGAAAGTTCCTTGAATTTAACTAGATTATTTTCCAACTTTCAGCACGGTATAAATAAAGGATTTTCCATCGGATGATTTCATCTTGTCCTGTGGCTCTTGAAATCTTGATGAACATGGATGCTCACACCCCTTCCAAAAGAAAGGTAATTAACATGGATATGCTATCATGTTCCCTGCGCATCGAGTTCCTCTGTTCGAATTCCCTTCCCAAATATATGGGGTTTCTTTTCGGCCTTTGATATGAAAATATGTTTGCATGTTGGCCTTAGCATAATTAGATTTTTGATTGATGAGCAGGTGGATGATCTCCAACAAGACTTGCTGCGTCTGCGAAAAGAGAATGAAGCTCTGAGATTCTTGCTTCAAGCTATGGCCACCAAATGCAACACACTTGAGCAGCTTATCCGAGAGAAAAACATTGAACGACGTGATCAGTTTCCGGTTGCCCAGAAGACGACACAGTTTCTTGTGAGAACCGACTCCAAAGACAACACCCTAGTAAGTCTAAACGCTAATCATCAGTTGATAAGTTAATACCCCACCCAATACACCGTTTACTAATATTATCTGTGAATTAAATGATTAGATTGTGAAAGATGGGTATCAATGGAGGAAATACGGACAGAAGGTTACGAAAGACAACCCATCATCCCCTCGAGCTTATTTCAAGTGTTCCTTGGCTCCTCGATGTCCGGTCAAGAAGAAGGTAACCTACGCTATACGCTATGCCTTAGCTTGAACTAGAATCCTTCGTTTTTGCTTTGAATTTTCCAGAGAAATTAACATTAATTTAATATATCATTTACCAGTCAGAGTTTGAATTCGGACCAAAATTTTGGATAGATCTGGTTTTAGTCATGACATGATGAGTTGCTCACGTAAATGAATTGATGACCAATTGGATAGGCTTCCATGCATATTTATTATTAATAGATGCTCTATAAAACAATGCAGAATTAAAAAATTAATAATATAAAAAGGAAAATTTTCGCATATTAATTTGTTTGAAATATGTATGTATTTTAGGTGCAGAGATGCATGGTGGATAAGTCTGTTCTTGTGGCAACATATGAAGGAGAGCACAACCATGACGCCATCAATGGCTCACCACTTGGACAATTTTGCTGTTCATCATCCACAGCTGATCATAATAATAATATTATTATTAATCCTATTAATTTTCCATCGCATGGTATCTCAGCAAATATTAATAATAATGATGTCATAAATATTGGTAGCCCTTCGAATTCTTCTCGGCCGGTGCCTATCACCCTTGATCTGACACTCTCGGGATCCATGAGCAATCAAGAAAATAATGGATCAGCTGGAAGCCCTCAAAACTCATCATCATGTGCCCCGAACATCAACCGTGAAAGTAGAATTGAAGATTACGTTGCTTATTTAACCAAAGATCATAATTTCACTCAAGCTTTGGCTGCTGCAGTTGCAAGCTCCATTACAAGAACTTCTGCAGACACAGAAAACCAGTGAACTTTTAACTTAGCCTAGAATTGCAAGACTTCTGTAAGCAATAGCTTCTTTTGTTGTCTTCCTCTCGTTGAGAAAACCAAGAGTTATTTCCTTGTACTATTTTTTGCTGGTCTGATGAGGATGATCATTCGTTTTAGTGTTGTTTGTGAGGTGTTGATGTAAGATTTCTACATGCTTGCTTTCATACATTTTACCTTTTTTTTTGTTTTTGGAAGAAAATAGTACCCAAAGATAAAAACGTCTTAATACGTACTGTCATAACCATTAATGAAAACCTAGTTCAGTTGTATACATGATGAGAAAAGTTTTATGTCCCTTCCTCATACTCATCCGATCAAACCACATGTGAATGGCATTATAATATGTCGAACACAGAACCCCGAGCGCATAATTGAATATTCTCACCTGAGTCACAAAACACAGAACCCCGAGTGCATAATTGAATATTCTCACCTGAGTCACAAACCCATTATATGGTGCTAGAGTGTTTCACACTCCTTTTGATAGTACTGAGGGAACGATTGAACACGTGTGCACACAGTGACGTGAGAGTGGTTGGAGGACATACGTCATTGAAATTGGACTCGGGTTTTAGTTATTGGATTAATTATTTTCACTATGTCACTATCTCTTTGATTCATAATAATACCTACCTAACGTTGTGACAAATGCAGTTGACTCGATAACCAAGCCAAAGACCAAAAACCTACCAAGCATGTGGCTCCTGCGGTCCTTGGCCCTTTCATCTTCACTAAGAGCCAAAAGCAAATTAGAGTTTTGAATCAAAATCGTATGGCCTTATTTGGCCCTTTCTCAAAATTTCATATTGAATATAATATATTGCACTTTACTACTATCTTATATAAAAGATTTACATCCCTATAACTAAAAAAATATACATATGAAAAAAATATAACTAAAATTAGTAATAGATAAAGGGAAACTAAGCTGACTATATTGCATGTATTTTTACAACAAAATTCCCCAGTTGTATCTTACAAGTGGCTCATCGAACAGGGGAACTCCATAAAACTCCAGCAACTCTGCTCCAAAGAACAATAAACCATGTTACAGAAAACAACAATGTCACTAATTACAAGCTTCACCACTACAGTAAATCAGAACTTCCAAAAACAAAGAAGAGGATGTTAGGCTTACTAATTAAGGTGGACCTCTCCCCTTCTGCAAACCACCAGCATTACTTTAAATCATGAGGAAAACATTCTTCTCCAGATCATCAGAATTGGTGGTTCCAGTTGTTTTTGTGCTCTCAATCCTTTGAAGGGATTTTCATCCATGGAGTGAAAAAAAAATTACATCCATTGGAGAACGGCTTTGGTTGCTGGAAAAAAATATGGTGAAATAGTTCTTTATGATTTAATGTTGCCACTCTTAATGGGAGTCTGTATCAAGAGCTCCTTTTTGGGAACAGTTCCCGCTTTCATTTTCTCGTTTTCTGCCTCCTTCTGTGCTTTCTTCTTTTCAAATTCAAGCTGCTTACAGTTTTCCTCGTGCGCTCGGGCAAACATCCTCACAAAGTTGAGCAGAGTAGATACAACTACGGGGAAAATTCCAAATAAACTCAAAGAGAAAATATGATAAACACCAGAAGGAAAAGAAGAAGAAGAAGAAGAAGAAGACGAAAATAACATGTACAGGTATCACCAAAGAAAGAAAAAAAATCAGCATTTAGTCTTTGGTGATACCTGTTTATATAACTCTTTTTTTCTTTCTGTACATGGTGCTAGAGAAATCACAGATCAATTAACAGTTAATTAACAGTTTACTCTCTCTTATGAATGCCTGACACTCAAGGCAGAGAGTATAGACCAACAGTAATTAAAATCATCATAGGATATTAATGGATAAAGATAATTACTGATGATTCTTAGAAAACCAGATGCACAAATTAAAACATATATACCTTGTTCAAATGGGCAGCGAGCAGGATCTTCCCCAAAATAAAGAGCCAATGCATCTGCATTTCTCCCCTGAAGACAACCACATTGAAAAGTGTATGTGTGTTTTTATTTCATACCACAAGCAAAACCCAACTCCTTAAACAAACTTGATACATACCACATTAGAATAAAGTGAAGCCAAAGACCTCACTTCAGCTTCGGCATGACTAAGGAACTCCTTTAGTGTCTGAACATTTGTCAGGAGATAACATAAAATTAATATTAAGAAAACTATTAATAGAAGCAGCATAATATCAAATGCAACATATGATCTTTCTAAAACAACATTAGTGAGGTAGTTGTTGGGCTTCGCAATCGGTGATCAATTTGTTTGGTATTAGAACCTTTAGGTATTCCTTTATGATGACCAATAAGTTTTATCTGTTAGCCAAATATGTCATCTAATTCAAATTTGTTACCTATATGTAACAAATACCCCTTTCAGACATATCTGAGATAGGCAACTCTGATTAAGCTTACAAATCAATTAGTACAGAAGGAACATCAGGTGATTGCTCACTTCTTTGTTTTTCTATCAAATTGTCAAGTATCCAAACAATTGCTTTCTCCTCTTTAAAGCTTATCTCATTCTAAAGGCAATGCAGCTAACCCCGGTAGGAAAGTCATGCCATGGAGATATGTATGCATGAAGTAGTTGATGCATGTAACCTTGCAAAAAGTTTCTGACACAGGACCATCATTTTCCGAGGCAGTCAACTCTTGTACAACCTTCTCTAGCCCTTTACTGATGGCTTGCATTTCCTCTGCCAAATATTTCAATTGTATCTACATCATAATTAAAAACTTAGCTCAGTCAAGCTTGTATAAGAAACCCTGTATCTAAACTAAATTGAACAGGAAAAACAGAATACCTTCGTTGAAGCCTCCAAACTTGTAAGGTCTTTTGGAAAATCAAGAAGTTCTGGCAGCTTCTCCGCAAGCACCTGTGGTTTGTTGAAGACGAATTTTATGAGCAGAATTGTTAAAGTTTTAAATTATACAATCAGAACAATATTATAAGATCACTTTGGGACCCAACCAAATACAAGTTTTCTATATGCCTAAACTTCTACGACACAATATGCACAAAGTGAAGGAGAAGTTCCACAAAACATTAACACAATGGACTAAAGGCTTTAAAAAATTACCTTACAAAGGTAATGCATAAGAGTCATCTTGTTATTCCGGGCTCGTGTATCAGTGAGCTTAAGGAGACTATCCAATCGAAATCCAATAGCAGAACCTACAGAAATAATTAAATAAACTAACTGCGCACATAGAAAGAACACAAGGTACAGGCTTCTAGGAAAAAGACTAAGAACAAAATAATCACTGCAAAACAAGGACCTGTCATATACTAATTATATAGCTATTTCCACCTTTCCTGTCAAAGTAGCTTATTGAACAAGTTACTACATTTTACCTAAAATTACATATCTGCCCAACCCTAACTTGCAACTTTGTAGCATTTTTATCACAAAAGCTGCAATTTTCCATTTATGTATAGTCAATGTATTAGTAGAAAATGGTAACCAAGTATTTCACTCACCTCTTGCAGTCCCATGGTTCAAGGCATTACCCAGAGAAAGAATTGTTTGCATGATCCTTTTCAGCTTTTCCGAACTTCTGATCTGATAAGCACATTCATATGATATTAAAGAGATGAAATTTTCAACCAGGAAAAAAAAACACTAGAAAATACAAAAAAGAAAAGAAATTTGCCTGATCAGCTACTGAATTGACGGTGTTCAAATTCTTTCTAAGGTCAGAAACCTGAAAAATGTGACACCATGGACAAATGCATAACAAGAAGCACAACAGAAATAGAAAGCATCTGGAATAAAATCATTAGACAATTTGTCCCCTTACCTGGGAATGGAATTGTATTTTAAATGAGAAAACTCTGAGCTTCGGCTCTACCCGGGGAACTTTCATTAATTCAAGAAAAAACTGTCACAAATTGCATAGAGCAATTAATTAAAGCATAAAATGAAGTGAGAGACACTGGGGAGGGGTGAAGAAGAGTTGAATGATTATGGAAGTGACTTCTTCAAAACCAGTTCAGTTACTTCTAAAAACTAAGACTCTAAAGCTCAAGATTTATGCAATTGAAACATAAAGTATTTCACCCCAACCAAATTATAATGGCAGCAAGCTATGAATATAATTTCAATGCACATCATTATAATGGCAACAATAGCCTTGCTGTCCACTATATGACTTTTCAAGTGAAAAGAAAGGAGAGTTAAAGGAAAGTGGAGGAGAAGTAAAATCCACTCACTTGTTCACATCTTCCTAAGTTTTCCTTATCTCCACTGTAACCCTGAGCAACAAAGCATGATTTGTTATTCAAGAAAACAGAAGACCTTATATACTCACTGTAAGCAATTTCATGTACAAAATAATCAGGTCATATTTATAGAAGCTCTCACGTTGGCATAATTAAAACTAGATAAAAGTACCTTGAGTAATTCCATCTCTTCCTTTGTTGGACAAAATTTTATGAGGTTCTCAACCTGATCAATATCTAATGCTGAATCATCCAAGGCAAGCACTGAACTCTGAAAAATATACCACAGACAATAATTATTTAATAGTGGAAAAGTATGCCATCCTATTTTCTTAAATGAATGGAAGTTAGCATTTGGAGCTTTGAAACTGCAACCTAACAAAACTGTTAAGAAGCATATACAAGCAAACAGGTGCCTTTAGGTTTATAGCTTACCATCACATCAGGCAAAGGGATTTTAACTTTAGAAAGCATTATTTCACAATTATATGCCCGCCTTAGCTCAATCTGCAAGAACCAGTAAATTTCTTGTGAGGATTGAGGGGACAAAGGAAGACTGTATTCAATTAGTTCAAAACAACAGAAAAAAAGATGGTACAAAAGGCAATCTGCTAAACAGATCCTCACTTCAAGCCAGTTGACTAGCAAAAACATAATTACCAGATTTCTTTCCAATATGCAAAAGGATGGCAAAAGGAGAACTCTTGCAAGCAATAATAGACTCTATTACCAAGCACCACTGCTATCGG